TGCTGTGGGGATAAATGATGTCATGGAAATGGAAGCATTTTGTAATGCACCATAAAAAATGTTAGTCATTAGATTTAGCGTTTTTTTTTTTGAAAAAAGACTTCTTGTCTTTCACCAGGAAATAAAATTCTTTCTGACAGGCAATATTTCCTGTTTAAGACTCATTTAGATGCTTGATTATGGGGGGAAAGTCATATTCTTAAACAAGTAAAAGCCTGCCTGAATCTCCCAAAAGTCTAAATAATGTTCCTAAGCAGATTTTTATTGAACCCTCTCACTTAAAACGTGAAGAATTCATGCAGAAAAGTCATCCTGTAAAATAAAATTATTTGTAGAAAGTAATGGCATCAGGTCTGAGACTTTCCATGGCTAGATTTTCTCAAGAGACACTTAAAAATTATATCCTGTGGGGCACTACACTTAAAGAAAAAAAAAGTTAATGGCTACACAGGTGAGTGAAAGGGGTGTGTAAGACATGAAACATACAAGAGTGAGGCACTCCTTATAATGTGAGTCACACATTTTCAAAAATTCTGTAACACTCAGTGCTCACAAGACAGAAAGGACCATCGACTACAATAAGAAGAGTGACCCTCTACCTCTCTGATTAAGCCATTCTTTGAGGCATTAAAGAAAAGTCCCTTTCGGCCAGAAAGGGACTTTCTACATTTAGTCATAACGATACTTAAATTTGAGACACAGTGGGATTTTTATACCTAGAAGACAATTAGAAGAAATGCAAGGACAAATGTAACCATGTTTTTAAATGTATTAAAAGCACTATACAAATTAAAAGCATGGCCATTGCTAAAATTATCAGACGTTTGTCTAATGTAGCTTCTAAGTTACCATTCCATAAATTATTACCATTTACTTTATAGTGCCTGAAGGAAAAAGACTAATGAAGTCATGGAGCCCAAAATGAAGAGGAAAGAAAGAAAAATACCTTTGAATTTCTCTTGGGTGAATGTTACAGGCTGCATAACCATACATCTCTCAGGAGCAAAAGGGGTGCTAAAAAGTGGGATGTCTAAGGGAAAGCAGGGATACACTAACTCAAAATGCATTCATCTGTGTTCTCTTATTTTTGTGTATGTGGCATAATGTTGCAACTTGGTAAGAATATGCCATTATAAAAATACAGTACGAGACCCACAAATACTCCCTGGAGTATTGAGCAATCCACTCCACAGGACCTCACCAAAGAAATGCAGAAGGGGCACCTGGGTGGCTCAGTCAGTTAGGCATCCTTGGTTTCAGCTCAGGTCATGATCTCACAGTTTCCTGAGTGTGAACCCTGCATCGGGCTCCGGGCTGACAGCACAGAGCCTGCTTGGGATTCTCCCTCTCCCTCTCCCCCTGCCCCTCCCCCACTCACGCTGTCTCTCTCAAAATAAATAAATAAACTTAAAAAAATGCAAAAGAGGGGCGCCTGGGTGGCTCAGTCGGTTGAGCGTCCGGCTTCGGCTCAGGTCATGATCTCACGGTTTGTGAATTCAAGCCCCGCGTGGGGCTCTGTGCTGACAGGTCGAGCCTGGAGCCTGTTTCGGATTCTGTGTCTCTCTCTCTCTGCTCCTCCCCTGCTCATGCTCTGTCTCTGTCTCTCAAAATAAATAAATAAACATTTTTAAAAAATGCAAAAGAAGGCACAGTAAAATACCCAAACACTGAACTTTAAAAAAAGAGAAAGTTGAAAGTTACCTCCAAGATTCTCTATCAACCCCCTCCCCACCTTCACTCCCACCCCTCCCCCCAATCTTGAAGCACCTGCTTCCCACTGCTGAATCTATGTAGACAAGCCCCACATTTTTGGCTAAGAGTCTGAAGAAGTACATAGGGACTTTACATATAAAACACTTGGTATGGATGATGCACTTTTAAAAACCTTTTTGTAAGTGAATATAATAGAAGAGAAAATGGGAAGATATCCATGGTTTCTTTCTACCCTGTTTTATTCCTTTAAAAAAAAAGCCACGTATTTTCTTTGGACTTTTCTCATGCATCTTAAAGTATTCTGTGAGTAAAAAAACTGTTCGTGACGATGATGACAAAGATGTCTATTTCTTGCTTTAAATACATAAATTTCACAAGGCAAATGCTACATTATGATATACTGTTACACATATACACATTGTACATATGGGTAGATATAAAATATTATTAATAATATACCCATTCCAGGCACTCATGAGTAAGACCCAGATTGTCCTTACCTAGTCCACTTTGGGAGGCAAAAAAGTTTTGTCTGAAGAGCTAAGAACTTTAGAATAAAAAGTCCTTAATTAAAATCAGGGTTCTGCCTCTCATTGAGTGGATGGCTTGGCCACATTATTTAATCTACCTGAGACTCTGTTTCCTCATCTACAAAATGAGGAAAATGACATCAACCTTGCAGGATTCTCCTGAGAATCTGAGATAACGTAGACAAAACACCTGAGTGGTGAGAACCACCATGCTCTTTCTCGGGAGAAAAAAACCGGGTTTTGAAGCATTTAAGAAGCACACCAAACATCCCTGCTCATGGCAAGGGCAATGACTTAACCTTCTCCATACCTCTGAGTTTAGCACACTAGAGGAAGCACCTAGTAAATGCTCAGTTAACGTTTTCAGAATGAAGAGTGTATGTGTATTCTTTGTTTAGGGATGCAAAAATATCTACATCTGCAATAAGTATACGTCACAGGTTCATGTTTGTGTTGCACAATGCAATGTAGTTAGGCAACAAATTCCTAAGGGTCCACTGTGCGCAGGGCCACAGAGATATGTTTTTGGTGTGTACCTACCTACATTATCTGTAACATCTCAGACATGTATGGACACGCATCTCTTGCTGACACGTTCTGCCCCGGTGAGAAACATACGTTTGGGCGCATCTTTGCGTAGAGTATACAGAGCTGCCACCGCTCCCAGGAAAGGTAAGATAAGACCGCCGAGTTGAGGCACGGTCCCTGTGTGCGCGCACGAACGCGCAAACGCATTCGTTGGCCCTGCGTGAATATAGATGCCCAGGGGCCCGTAGGGGGGTCTGTGCACGGCGTCCGCGCCCGAGGTGGGGGGGGGAGGGGGGTGCTCTGCTGGGCGAGAGTGACCTGGGTGTCTACCCTGACAGCGGGACACTGGTGTCTGCTTGGCGGCCCGGGCGCCTCGGCAGAGTGTGCAGGACTCTTGAGCCGACCCCCCGCCCCAGCCTAGCGCCCCGCGTGCCGTCCCTCCCCTGCCTGGGAGGCCCCGCCGCGCCGGCGCCCTCGCTGCCCGTACCCCTTGTTGCTGCTTCCGGACAGTAGGCTTCACCCTCGCGAAAATCTGGATGGTCTGCTTCACCATCTCCTCCGGGCTCTGCACTGACCCTTGACCTCTCTCAGGCTCAGGTTCCCAAAACTTCTGAATCCCACCACTTCCGGCGAGCGGGAGCCTTAGCAACAGTAACTATGGACACTACCCAAGGAGCACCGCGCCAACCGGGACCGCCTCCCCTCCCTAATTGGTTGCTGACCGTAGAGGGGCCTGTAGAGAAGTACTGAGGGGCGGGGTTGGGGCGGGGCCGAGCGGAGAGCGCTGCGCACGCGCCGGGTCAAGTTCTGGGCACCAGGTTTAGCTCCACAGCTGGCCTACAGAGTGGTTAATGGGGTGACAACCACCATGCCTCGCCCGGTTCCTTAATCCATTCTTTCTCTGTGCCAACACCTCTTTTTAACACTGAAGTCATTCTGTTTTTTATTATTCATTCATTGAAGAAATGTCACTTGATCTGTGACAAGCAATGTGTTGGCTGGGGATGATTCTGAGCTGAGCAAAACTGCCTCTGCCCACTTAGAGATGAGGGTCTGATGAAGGAGGCAGCTTTTCAGCAGGAAGTTACAAGTTACCCGGGGTTGGGCATGGGATTCTGTGGAAGGCACCTCTTCTATCTCTGTTTGGGAAGAGGCCAAGCCTGGAAGAGAGAGGGACTATTTCCTATGCAATGGCCCTGTCAAAAATGGATGGGCTTCCATGTGCACTGTTAGTGGGAATGTAAATTTGTGCAGCCACTATGGAAAACAGGATGGAGGTTTCTCAAAAAATTAAAAATAGAACTGCCATATGATCCAGCAACTCCTCCTCTGGAAATATATCCGAAAGATTTGAAATCTGGTTGCCAAAGAGATCATTGCACTCCCACATTCTCTGCAGCATTAGCCAAGACATGGAAACAACTTATGTATTCATCAGTGGATGAATGGATAAAGAAAATGTGACGTGCATATATGATTTTTATATATTATTTATCTTCTACATGTAATGGAATATGTACATATACAATAGAATATTTTTCTGCCATAAAAAAGTAACAAAGAAATCCTACCATTTGCAACTACACAGAGGAAACTGGAGGGCATTGTGCTAAGTGAAATAACTTAAAAGGGAGAAAGGCAAATAGTGTATGATCTCACTTATCTGTAAAATCTAAACGAACTGAACTCACAGAAACAGAGACTAGAATAGGTTTCCAGAGGCTGGGGGTAGGGATAATGAGGAGATAGTGGTCAGAGGGCACAAACTTCCAGTCATAAGACAAATAAGTTCCGGGAATCTAATGTACAGCACAGTGACTATAGTTAACAATATTGTATTATACACTTGAAAATTACATAGACAGTAAATCTTAACTATTCTCACCAGAAAAATAAATGGCAATTATGTAAAGGGATGGAGGTGTTAACTAACCTTATTGTGATAACCACTTCATAATACAGATGGTCCCTGACTTATGATGGTTTGACCAATAATTTTTCAACTTTATGGTGGTGCAAAAGCAATATGCATTCAGTAGAAAACTGTACTTAGAATTCTGAATGTTGATCTTTTCCCAGGCTGACAATATGCAATATCATACTATCTTATAATGCTGGGCAGTAGCAGGGAACCACAGCTCCCAATCATCCATGTGATCACAAGGTTAAATAATCTACACACTCACCCAGACAACCATTTTATTTTTCACTTTCAGTACAGTATTCAATAAGTTACATGAGTTGGTCAGTACTTTATTATAAAATAGGCTTTGTGTTAGGTGATTTTTCCCAACTCTACGCATACAATGTAAGTGTTCTGAGCACATTTAAGATAGGCTAGGCTAACCTGTGGTTGATTGGTAGGTTAAGTGTATTGACTGCATTTTCAATGTGATATTTTCAACTCAAGATAGGTTTATTGAGACATAACCCAATCATTAGTTGAGAACGGTCTTCATATACGTGGATCAAATTATCAATTGTACACCTTAAACTCATATATCAATTATATCTCAATAAATATGGAAAATACACACATACATAAGGAAGGATGAGTACCTCAGAAGACACTGTTAGCACATGAAAAGATGTTCAACATCATTATCCACCAGGAAAATACACATTAAAACCACAATGGGATGTCACCACACGTCTATCAGAATGGCTAAAATAAAAAAATAGCAACAAAACCAGGTGCTGACTGGGGTACAGAGAAACTGAATCACTCATATATTACTAGTGAGAATATATAATGTGAAACGTATCATGGATAGTGGTATTCTAGAAAACAGTTTGGCAGGTTTTTTTTTTACAAAACTAACGATGCAACTACTATAAGATCCAGCAATTATGCTCATGGGCATTTATCCCAGAGAAATGAAAACTTGTGCTCACACACACAAAAAAATCTGTACTTAAATGTACATAGCAGCTTTGTTTGTAATAGCTTCAAGCTGAAAATAACCCAGATGTCCTTGAACTGCTGAATGGATTAAAAAAAAAAAACTGTGGAATAGTATTCAGCAATAAAAATGAAAAGGATTACTAGTACATATAACAACTTGGATGAATTTCCAGGGAATTGTGCTAAGTGAAAGAAGCCAGACTCAAAATCAAATACTGTATGATTCCATTTATATAACATTCTTGAAATGACAAAATTATAGAGATGAAGAGGAGATTAGTGGTTTCCAGGGGTTAGGGAGGAAGGGAGGGGGTGAGGTGGCTATGGCTATAAAAGGATCCTGGTGATGATGGACTGTTTGTATCTTGACTGTGGCAGTGGTCACAGAAATCTACACATGTGATAGAATTGCATAGAACAAAACACATGCGCACACACACACACACACACACACACACAAATGAATGCATATAAAGCTGGTGGAAGTTGAATAAGAGTAAATAAGATGGATAGATTGTATCAATGTCCATTCCTTGGTTGTGATGTTGCACTATAGTTGCACAACATGTTACCTTTGGGGAACACTGGGGGAAGGGAAAGCAAAACTCTCCATATTATTTCTTATAACTGCGTGTGAATCTACAATTATCTCAAAACACAAAGTTTTTAAAAAGAAACTCCTAGAGAATAAAAAGACAAGCCGCAAACTGTGAGAACAGTTTTGCAAAAACACGTATCTGGTAAAGGACTTGTATCTAGAACACCTAAAAACTCTTAAAACCCAATAAAAAATAGGAAAATAACTCTATTTTTTTAAAGAGGGGGATCAAAGATTTGAACACACGTCCCACTATATGGATGGCAAATAAGCACGTTTAACATAAGATGTTAACATAGGGCGCCTGGGTGGCTCAGTTAGTTAAGTGTCCGACATCAGCTCAGGTCATGATCTCACGGGTTCGTGTGGTCGAGCCTCACGTCGGGCTCTGTGCTGATAGCTGGAGCCTGGAGCCTACTTCTGATTTTGTGTCTCTTCTCTCTCAGACCCTCCCCCGCTCTCTCTCTCTCTCTCTCTCTGTCTCTCTCTCTCTCTCTCAAAAATAAATAAACATTTAAAAAAATTAACATAAAATGTTAACATAATTTTTAACACAATCATTAACAAAATGCAAATTAAAACCACAATGAGATACTACTACACACCTCTTAGAATGGCTAAAAATAAGAAAATGAGACTGGCAATACCAAAAGCTGGCACAGATAGAGAGCATTTTGAACTCTCAAACATGCGCAGAGATGGACCAGTCACTTTGAAAACCAGTGTCATCATTGCTTATTATATAAAGTTATACACACACTTACCATATCACCCAGCAATCCCACTCCTCCATGTACCCAGTGCAATGAAAACTAATGTTCCCCCAAAGAGGTACACATGAACGACTGTTGTGGGTTTATTCACACTTGCCCCTAAACTAGAAACAAGGTAAGTGTTCTTCAACAGGACAGATAAACAACAGTTTATCATATACACGATAAAAAGGAATAGACAGCTGATGCCTGCAAGAATATAGTTGAATCTCAAATTTATTATTTGAAAGATGCCAGACTCAAAGTTACACACAGTGTAATTCCATTTCTATGACATTCTAGAAAAGACGAAACTATACAGAGAGAAAAACAGATCAGTGGTTGCCAGGGCTGAGGATAGGGAAAGAGCTGACCGCAAATGGGCATGGGAGAGTTTGAGGATGTGATAGGGCTGTTTCACATCTACATTGTAGTTGTGGCTATGTGACTATATGCATTTGTCAAAACCCATTGAACTATCTGCATGCTTACAAGTGTGAATTACACTGTATGCACATTATACTATTCTAAGAAAGGTCAAAAGAAAAAAAGAGGTTGGGGTATGAACAGATGTTACAGCAGCAAGTATGAAGAAGGGGGGAGAACCAGGCACTTATGAAACAGACTTTAAGGGCTTTTTCACCTGGCCCTGGGTGGTGAGGAAGAGATGATTTAAGGTCAGCCAATATCCAGGGGTGCCTGGGTGGCTCAGTCGGTTAAGCAGCCGACTTTAGCTCAGGTCATGGTCTTGCGGTCCATGAGTTTGAGCCCCACATCAGGCTCTGTGCTGATGGTTCAGAGCCTGGAGCCTGCTTTGGATTCTGTCTCTCCCTCTCTCTCTGACCCTCCCCTGCTCTCACTGTGTCCCTCTCTCTCCCTCTCAAAAATAAATAAGTAGATATTAATTAAAAAAAAAAAAATATATATATATATATATAGGGCAATATCCGTTCCTTGGCTATTGTGAATAATGGTGTAGTGAATGTGGGAGTGCAGAAATCTCTTCAAGATACTAATCTCTTCTCCCTCAGAAGTGAGACAACATGTCTATGGATGAATGGATAAAGAAAATGTGGAATATGTATATATATATTCCCATATATATATTCCCATATATATATATATTCCCATATATATATATATATATACTCCCATACACACACACACACACACACACTCACACACACACACACACACACACACACACACACACACTAGTATTCAGCCATAAAAAGAAGAAAATCTTGCCATTTGTGACAATATAGATGTACCTTAAGGCCATTATGTTAAGTGACATAAGTTAGAAGAAAAATGCTGTGGATCTCACTCATGGGTAGAATCAAGGGAGAAAAAAAATCAAGCTTATAGAAAGACTGAAGTGGTGGTTGCCAGGGACTGGGGAGTGGAGCAAAATGGGGAAATGTTCATGAAAGTGTGCAAATGTTCAGTTATGAGACAATACGTTCTGAGGACCTAAAGTACAGCATGCAGACTATAGTTAATAATACTGTATTGTATTTGACAGCTGCCAGGAGAGTCAATCTTAAGTGTTCTCACCACAAAAAAATGTAAAAGGTAACTACGTGAGGTAATGCATGTGTTAATTAGCCTGACTGTGGTAAATATTTCACAATGTATGTGTATATTAGGTCATCTCACTGTACACTTTAAATATATACAATTTTATTTTTCAATTAAAGCTGGGCGGGGGGAAGATTGGGCAGTTGGGCATACGGTGGAGATATTTACTCAGATAGGTAAATATTATACCAAGAGTGGAGCGGTGAGAAACAAGGAGCTGGGGACACGTTAGATGTCACGTGCCTATGGGTCTTCGGTGGGTAGTTGGATAAAGCTTAGGAGAAAGCTCTGGCTGAAAATGCGGATTTGGGAGTCATCAGAGAGTTTTTCTCCCCAAAAAGTGATCAAGTCCCTGATGAGGAATGAGCCCTCAGTCCTAGTGCTGATGTTTGGAGGTGGAGGAGAAGCAGCAAAAGGGACAAAAAGAGGAACAGCTGGAGAGGTTGGAGGGAGGAAGGAGAATGCCGTTGTCATAGAAGCCAAGGGAAAGGGACCATTGGAGAAGGAGGAAGTGGTGGGTTAGTAGAGGTGCAAAGAAGCAAAATGCAGGGTAAAAGCTTGAGGAGCCCAGGGTAAGGAAGGGTCTTTTGTTCATATCTAAGGGGAGGCTGAAGGTACAGGAAAGAGAAAAGAGAATGTATGTGTGTCTCAAACAATCGTCATTATATCAAGAGAATGCAATGGGGAAGGCAAAAGACCACGGGTCTTCGCAAAAGACCATCATGAGGTCCAGGCTGCCTAACCATGCAGGCCTTTGACATGCAGGTGTGGTGTGAGGTTAGGAGGGAAATCTGTGGGGCCTGGATATGGGAACTTTATACTTCCTGTCTTAAGCCCCAGGTTATATGATCAAAGGCATTCAGGGGGTGGAAATGTGGTTTCAAATCCTGTTTGTATCACACCTGAAGGTGTGACCTTGGGCAAGTCATGGGAAGGATAATAGGCAGCAGCTACCTCATAATGTTTGCATGCAGGTTATCTGCAGACATGCATGTAAAAATGTTACCCTGCTGTCTGGTGAATAAGAGATACTCCGTATCCAAAGGGTTCTGCTCTCTGGACTGTATTCTTTTGCCTCTAAACACCTCCTCAGAGGCAGAAACTATGGCATGCATATGTATACAAGACATACTGAAGATTACAAACTCAAGTATTTCCTGGGGCCAGACTTATGGTGTAAGTGTGTCAAACTTACACCAGGTCTATGACAATACGGAGTTGTCACACTGTGAACTGGAGACTGCGTGTCCTTAACTAAAAGCATTCACATTCGAAACAGTTAAAGCACAAGGCTGCCTATATAAAGCACACTTGTGAGCCCCGGTTTACAACCTCTGTTTCTGTTCCTGGTAAAGCCGACTTCAGTAACTCCCAGGCCAATGCCTCTGACAGGTTTACCTAAATCTCAAACAGATGGCCCTAATGGGTAGTAAATAAGTACTGAGATTAAATCTCTAAGTTACAATGTCTTTCCCACAACTGGATATATATTCAGTATTATTATTTACGCCTTATCTACTTGCTTAAGTGCGGGACTTAAGATGCCTTTAAATTGTTTAAAGGATTCTTGAGCTCTGTAGTTGCCAAAATAATGTATAATTGTACCCCACAAATTAGCCAGGGTTTATAAGGCCTCAAGTCTGAAAGAAATTAAGCTGTGCCTGAAGTGAATTAGTCTATAGGCAAGTTAGTTGGGTTTTGTTTGAATGTTTTTAAAGAAATATTGAAACCGTGCTCCAGTACTAGTCTTCTGTTACCTCTTTAGCTGTTGGGGCTACAACTATAAAATGCATATTTTTTCTTTGTAAGTCTGACGGGACCAGTTAAATTTTATGGGCTGGTAATTTTGATATTATAGAATATGTACATAAAATTACCTAATTGCAGTATATTTCCCCTCCCCTATTTTATCCTTGGCTTTGGAGGATTTATGATAGTTTGTTCTAAAATCTTTCATTGCTATAACATGACACTCCCGCCCCCCACCTTATTATCAGGTGAACAAGTGTGTTCAGACAGGGGTGATAGACCCCTCACTAATAGGACAGAAAGCATTTGATTGCAGTCTTCTCCAGTTGGTTTACTCCAAGAAGCAAGACCTGTAACCAGAACTCTGCTGCTTATTGGCAAATAGCAATATTAGTAGAATAAAAATCAACTGATGTAAACTGTCTCTGCACTCTCATGAAAGCTGTTCTGATCCACAGTAAGAATATGGGGATAGTCAATAGGACATCAGGCAGGACTCCTAAATGTCCCTGATTGAGGATTTTTTTTTTCATGTTTATTTATTTTGAGAGAAAGAGAGAAGGAGAGAGCATATGAGCAGGGGAAGGGCGGAGAGAAAGAGCGGGAGAGAGAGAATCCCAACCAGGCTCCATGCTGTCAGCGTGGAGCCCCATGTGGGACTCAATCCCCAAACTGCAAGATCACTACCTAAGCCGAAATCAACAGCCAGACGTTCAACTGACTGAGCCATCCAGGCGCCCACCTGATCGAGGATTTTAAAAAATGAGGACGATGACTTCCTTGGGAATCCCTTCTCATCTGAGTCCCTTTTCATCAGTTTTATGAGTGCTCAGTACCAGAGGGAGCCCCTTATTCCTGTCAGTTAACAAAAAAAAAAACCACACTTATTCCATTGTTTCTGAATTGAGTGGAGAATACACAGAGCATTTTCTGGTACTCATTAAATGCTAAATAATAACAACATTCTGTTAAATTGCAAAGCAAGGGTACCACAAAATCTGTAATGTATAATTTCAGCAAAGAATTTTCTTTTGAGAACACGTTCAGCTAATTTAAAGCATAATTTCATTAACATCACCATCTTTGCACACATAGCAGAGTGGAATTCATACAACTTTACCAGCGTTTGGGTTTACAGGATCACAGTGGGAACCAATGGTTTCGGTAAACTCGCGCTACCTCCCATTTTCCTATCAGAGGGTGGATGCAGATTTGGCACGCCACACGGGGTTCTCTCTCCTTTGGGTTCATCCCATCTTTGGCTGAGAGGCAGGGGCTCCTTCTTTCTTGCTTTGTCTGAACCTCTTCCTGCAGCCCTCCTGGGCCTCCTCGTGAATAGCAACATCAAAGTCATTTATGGCTGGAAGCTGGTGGCCAGCCATATGGAATTACAGCCCAGGCTCTCGCCGGATTACAGAGTGTAGCATATGAATCAAATGACAGTGCCATGGCAAAGAGGGAAGGCTGGTAAGGCCTCCAGTTTTGAATGGAAAATATGACTCTTTGTGTATTTATACACAGGCTCCTCATAAACAACCTGAATGTTTCACCAACATCCCAATGAAGCAAGGGAGGGGCTGAGTTAAAAATAGATCCGGAGTGCCTCTCTTCTAAGTAAATTACCCACCCTGTCCTATCTTCTCTGGGTGTTTAATGTGTTTCCCTGCATATTTCACAATTACAGGAAACGCTTACCAACAAATAGCATAACTTAAGACATAAAAGAAAATGGCTCACGTAGCGGAGTCCCCTTATCTAACTCATTATTATTGCCGCAAAATCCAACCACATCGTAGCCAACCTGAATCCGGCTACTCAGCAACCAGACTCTTCCTCGACTTCTGTTCCCTTCTCAACCTCCCGCAGTCCGGCTTTTGTCTCCCACACTCCATGGAACCTGTCTAAGCTTTGCACCTCCAGAGTGATACCTTCTGTCTGGATGCCCTGGAATAACATCATGATCGACCCAGTCGTCCAGGCTTGACCTCACAGCTGCCCCCTTGCTACCTCCTGCCCCTTAGATAGCGGTGTTCAGTTTCCAAGTCCCGAGGATCTCGTCTCCCAAATAGTTTTTGTCTCTTCCCCATCAACTGTATGCCCAGTGCTTATTGCCAGAGTCTGGCTTTTCATGTCTGCCAGCACTAACAAACATCTCCTGACTGTTTTCCTTTCCTCTTAGCTGGTCCTTCCCTTTACCTCATCTTTTTCACCTGTTTCTTGATTACTTGATGCAGTGCAAATCAGTTTATGTCACTCCTTGTTTGAGAACCTCCAAAACATCCCCCATTACAAATAGAATCTAGTCCAAAGAGCCTTCACAACCTGGTCCCAAACTGTCTTTACATCAGTTTCATAGCCGTTATCACATTCTCCACCCTACCTTTCCTGAGCCTGTACTCCAGCCCCTGGTTTTCTGCAGTTCCTACACATGCCATGCATTTGTACGTCTCGATGCCTTTGTCCATGCTGTTCTTTGTGTGTTCAGTGCCATTTTCCACGTTGTCCATTAGGAAATTCAACCCACCTTTCAAGATCCAAATCAAACGTCACTTGTTCTGAAAAGACCGTAAACCCCATGTCCCCTAGTCAGAGTTAGCGATTCCTCTCTGCAACTACATCTTACATGTTCGTTTGTAATAGCACTTACTGTCCTGTTAGTGTTTCCTGTATGAATCTGTCTCCCCACCAGGCCGTCACTTATTTAAGGTCTTTGGCTCTTTCCTGTTTATCTCTCTGTATTCCCAGGGGCTAACAAGGTTTGGGGGCTCATACCAGAGATTTCTACATGTCTGGTGAATGACTGAGTGGGTTCATAACTCATTGCGAGAAATCAATGAAGTATGTGAGGTTCTTATTTCCATGGTGAAAATTCTTTTCTCCTCTGGCCCAAGAGAACAAAGATCATTTACGACTGAGTAGACAGGAACAAGAGAAAGAGTTGGAAACAAATACAGCATCATTGTTTCAATTTTTGAACTCTCTTTCTTTAGGCAGGAAAAGATGGCTACAAATTTCCCAGGATGATAGAGTGAGCCCCACCTTAACATTTGTATCAGTGGAAGATAACAGAAACAGAATAAGTATAGAGGCAAAGGGGCCCATTGTTAAGTTAGTGAGTTGCATCCAGGATGTCTGGGACCCATTTAATGAATCTAAGAATGAACTTGTTTTTCACTTAAAAAGAATGCACCATTTACAACCGACCAATTAAAATGTTACTCACCTTCTTTTGTTTCACATTATAAAAGGCTTTTTCCCCCGAGTTTGACAAAGCAGTCTTTGGTACAGCAATCAACTGTTCTTCCTCCTCTTCCATGATTTTTATTCCCCCAAACACTAAAAGAATGTTTCCTAAATTATACAGCCTGTTGCACTTTACTCCATCCTCTCTCCCCAGTCCTTGCTCATTGTTCAGGCCCCAGGGGAAATCTCTTTCTCTGAGAAGCCTCTCCTGATCTTCTCAGACTACATCCAGAGCTCTAGCTCCACGTTCCTTAGCACCATGCCCACCCCTATTGTATACATACACCACTTTATCATTGTTGCTTACAACGGATTCTACTTACTCACCATCCGATTGTCAGTCTATGTACATAGCAAGTGCTTAATAAATCCATAGCTGATAAAAAGTGATGTATTTATAGAATTGATGAAAAGATGCCTTGGCAGGGGAAAGGAATCAACATGGTCTTAGACCTGCCTTCACCTCTCAGACTGTGAGACGAGGATTTGAGTGTAAGAGGTTCATTTGAGAAGGGAGGAATACCAATGGCAAGTGCATTTATGGGTGGATTGTCACCACTAGGGCACAATGTCACCCAGGACCTTCTGAAAGGCCGTGCAAAACACAAGGCAGGCTTGTTCCCCTGAGGGGTGAGGTAGCTGGAGTATTTATCCTGCAGCTCTTGTTCCTATTCGGCGGGGCTGCTCCGCTATTAATGTTTTTCTTCTAAATTTCATTTTTTAAAATGCATATTAGAAAATTACCAAACACGTCCGTACAGTTCTAAATCTCACATAATTACCTACCACCAAGTAATGGGATCTACTTCTAAAAGCACAGTATACCCTTGGATTGCAAGTAACTTGTTCTGCGAGTGTTCCACAAGGCGAGCAAACATTTCTAATAAATTCTTACTTGATAAACGAGAGATGTCTTGCAATATGAGTAGTACGTGACGCCGAACGTCACATAATCACAACTGAGCCAATGGTTCTCTCTCTCTCTCTCTCTCTCTCTCTCTCTCTCGTTGTGGGATTGTGGGTGATCGTCTCCCATGCTCTGATGATGCTCAGTCTCAGGCCATGGTGTTTGGCAGAAATCAGTGATTTTCCAGAATATTTGGAAGGTGCCCACAACTGGCACTAGTGTATGTTTCGTCTCTTCAAAGCACCTATGGACAGTCCTTTGCTCTTCCATACAAGAGTAAGCTTAGGAATGCTTTGTTTCATTCCAGATCAGGCTGCCTACAGATATAGACCCTTCCTCTGCTGCCTGATCACCAGTGACATTAAATACACTATATGACAAGAGTTTATCAACACTGTACTATAGTCAACATCCGTGCAAGCATATACAATGACCCCCGAGCAGAGAAAGATTCCACTGAGCCAACAGATAGCAGTGATTCTGTTAGTGATAATGAAAGTCATCCTGCACAATAACCCTTCTCTCTTTTGTCTCCCTCAAAGGTTTTCAAAGGTAAGTGCAGGTTAATTTGTTTATTTTTCATTATATTTTGTATTTCCTTTACTATGTTGTATTATATTACAGTATTGTAATCATTTTTATATGAATATTTTTGGGTGGTGGAATGAATGATTTGAGTTTCCATTATTTCTTGTGGGGAAATTAACTTTGATATACACACAAGTGCTTTGGATTACAATCATGTTTCCAGAATGAATTATGTTCACAAACCAAGGTATTACTGTATATACAGTATCTTACAGAGTCACAGGAGACCACATGAGATTCATCTTATATAGGAACACATGATGTCCAATCTTTAAATAGATGCTTATAGGTCACCTTTACCAACCAATCATACCCTTGGTATTACTCACCTGCTTGATAATCTCTGGTCTTTGTCTGCACCTGTTTTATAAGTCAATATACACTTAGGCTAATATTCAATGGTTTTGTATGCTAAACATCTGTGCTACACATTTTTTCTATGGATCAGTTGCTAAATCAAGTGTCTTTTAACAAAAAGCTAACCTTTCCCTTCCAAGCACCAGGCTGGTATTCCATCTATACAGTATACATTTTAAGTGCCCCATGGTCAAACAATCTGAGGAAATTTTATGCTGAAGTCAAGCCCTCTAAAAAGGTTTCGATGGTTTTCCGTCTATTGAATTAAGAACATGTTACCAAGCCATTCAAGACATCCCATAAATTAGCTCCAACACTTGCCACTTTTTCTCCACGCTGAGTCATTCACTGTTCCCTCCACACAGCCTGCTTACCTACCTACACCCATGCTTTTGTGCTTCCTTCTGACCTGACCTCTCTTCTAACCCATCTCTGACCCCTGTCTGCTAAAAGGTGCTTGTATTCTAAGGTCCATCTTAATTTCCCTAAGTTTTCATTTCTCACCATGTCTACAAAGTGCTATCTCCACTTTCCTGCGTTGAAGCACCTTGTCCCACAAGAGAAGTGTGTACTTCTCTTGAAGCTCTTTATATGGCCCTCTCTCCAGCACAGTTCTTAGTGACAATGTGTCGTTCTCTACCCTAGCCTGAAGTTCTTGCTATTCAATATTTAAGTTCCCTCCAGGACAGGAGCTCAGACTCTCTCTCTCGGATCCTATACTACCTTAGCAGAGTCACTTGCACGTAATACTCAAACATTAAATGTTTCTTGAACTGAATTTTTAAAATTTATTTTTATTTTTTTAATCTTATTTATTTATTTGTTTTTGAGAGAGAGAGACAGGATGTGGGCAGGGGAGGGGCAGAGAGAGAGGAAGACACAGAATCTGAAGCAGGCTCCAGGCTCCAAGCTGTCAGCACAGAGCCTGATGCAGGGCTAGAACTCGTGAACTGTGAGATCAGGACTTGAGCTGAAGTTGGCCGCTCAACTGACTGAGCCACCCAGGTGCCCCTGTAACTTATCTTCTCATTCTCTGAACAGTGGTCTTTCACATGGCAAAAGTTTTCGAGATGTTAATGAAGTCAAATTTATCATGTTTTTCTTTTATGTCTCATGCTTTTGGTGTTATAGCCAAGAACTCTCTCTAATTCATGGTCGTGAAGACTTTTCTCCTATTTTTTTCTGACAAGTTTTATAGTTTCACATCAATAGCTTTATGTTTAAGCCTATCATGCGTTCTGATACACTTAAATGCATTTTTATATAAGGTGTGAAGTACATTGAATTGAATTGGGTGCCTTTGGAGACATTTGCCTTTACCTTAGAACACCCTGCTTTCAGTTCGACCAGTGCAAGCCTTAAAATGTATTTTCTTACATCAAGGTTATAACTGTAGGAGGATCTTTGAGGCTGGGCAACTTTGAACTGAAGAAAGTTTAATTTTAATCAGACAAGCTGACTACAACAAGTCTTAATATAATAGAGTAAACAGCAAAGATACTGAGATATCTAGTCCTTGCTTTGGTAAGAATGGGTTGGCAAAATCAACATACAGTATGTGCGTTTATATGTATGCATCAATTAATTCACACACACACACACACACACACACACACACACATCTACGCAGTCTCAAATATTTCTGAGGCATTGCTTCTCCCTAGAGCTTTAAGCCATAATTTTACTTATCCAGTAATTCCAGCTACTCTTTTCCCAGAGGCAGGAGATTTTGGTTAGTGGCTTTAGAGTTTGTCACAAGCTGTGACAAACATTATTCAGTTTATAAAATGTCCTTGACTTGGGTAGACCAAAGATGGGTTTTCCATTACATCACTCAGAAATGGATAGGTCTTTCCATAAACACACTTCGACATTTTATCCCAACTTACCCTTGTTTCATATTTCACTTCCATTTTTTAATGGCACTTTTGCTGGCAATCAGCACATCTCTTTTGAGCTGCTGGCAGTGTTAAGAAGCTTGAGTGCAATTGCCCTGCCCTGGACCAGCCGGAATGACAGTGTGACTTCTCTGCTAAGCCTGCCGAGTTTTGAGGCCTGAGGCATCCCCATCACCTCTGTACATTATGAGAGCTTCACACAGAGCTGGGAGCATTTTAAATTTCTTGGGTTTAGGATTAATGACTTTCTCACCATTGTCAATTCTTTAGTGTTTAAGGGCTCACTTAATATAATACTGTCAGGATTTAGCCTAAAATGCTATCTTTGCGTTAAAAAAGCAGTTATCTAGGGGCTCCTGGGTGACTCTGTCGGTTAAGGGTCCGACTTCAGTTTAGGTCATGATCTCATGGTTTGTGAGTTCGAGCCCTGCATTGGGCTCTGTGCTGCCAGCTCAGAGCCTGGAGCCTGCGTCTCTGTGTCTCTGTCTCTCTCTGTGCCCCTGCCCCACTCATGCTCTGTCTGTCTCTCTTGCTCTCAAAAATAAATAAACATTTTTTAAAAAGCAGTTATCTAGGCCAGCTTTTATAAAAATACGCCAAACAGACAGACACGCACACACACACACACACACACACACACACACACTCTGGAGGATTGGACTATTTGTTCCAACTCTTTACCCTCCTGCAATAGGATTATACATCTACAGCCTACCCCCTTGCATCTTGGCACTGCCCCCACCCAGGACAATGCAGCAGTGGAGGGAGTTCCCTCCAAACTCCACTTTGTTGGCAATTGACTTGACCAATGGAATGGAGTGGAAATGACATGACCAGAGGCTTTATGGGTGCCTCCATGGATTGGATCACATGCTTGCACTCCTGTGATAACCATAGGAAGAGCAGGGTCCAGCTAGCTTCTAATCCTTCAGTTTGGGCCCAGAATGTAACACATTAAGTTGCCCGAAACCTAACCTACACTAGCCAACATGCAAATAAAGCAGAGCTGTCCTGGCCAGTCCAAGACCAGTGAGTAAGAAAAAATAAAATGCTTATTGTTTATAAGCCACTGAGTTTTGTTACACAACATATTACAGCAATGGCTGGCTGATAAAGTTACCCATCTTTCAGTCACGTTTCCCATGGATAGTAGAGTCAGTGTAAAACCCAGCACAAATTGTTAATTTGCTAAGATGAACACATAAAGGAATGTTTACAACCATGGATCAGACAGGTTACCATCTTCTCATGGATTTTTTCCAGCTTAGCCCATTCTTCAAGCATCTGCTCTGAGCTGATTTTCTGAGTATCCTTCAATAGGATCAGTCTGTATAGAATTATAGAATATAAAGCTTATCATTTCTTAGTTGTCCTCACCAGTGCAAAGTCCCAACAACTGCAGCGTCTATCAAGTTGTTACGTTATGATTTATGCATGAGCGATGGCATGGTTTTTGAGCTGTAACAGCCAAGTTTCTTGGCAACAGGAAAAGCCATTAAAATTCAGCATTTCCCCAAGAACATTAACAATCTCTGATCGTTAGTTATTGTTAAAGTGCCCATTGCAGTGCTCAGTGGGCATCGACATGAAATGGCAGGCTGTCCATTGTTTTACCTATATCCCCAAAGAAACTCATTTTCTGTAATTCCTTGCTCCATGGATACTGGTACATTTTGCAGTTATATTACTGGGGTTGGCCAGGCCTCACAAGTATATTTCTTTACACCTAGATATTTAGCTAGATAATTTTAATTGAAATCTTTTATTATAGTGTGCTGTTTCAAAATTTAAGGCCATAGATTGATACTCCCTTTAGAAGCATAGCTCAGAATAAGATGCCATCATCTTCCCAGCAGAAAGTTTGTAGGCCACCTTGAACCCCAGATTTGCATCTTTGCCACATGGCCAAAAATAGTCTTCCTACTTTTAAGAGGAGCCCTGAATTTTCAAAAAAATTTGCCAAGAACATAAACGTTACATTTAGCATTATAGAACATGTGTTGGCTTCATTCATTTTCTCAAAGTTCACCTCCCCCTCTCTGCCTTGACCTTTTCTGCTTCTCATCCCACCATTCTTTCTCATCGCCTCCCTTCCTTGGATCAGATTGTTTCTCTTCTGACTAGCCAAACACATGCAGAACTGGGCAAGGCTTAATTGCATGAGAGATGTTTAGCCTTTTACAAAAGTAAATACTAAAGGGGGACATCAGAGTCACCTTATAATATTTGGTGGTCTGTCATGTGGAAGAGAGAGTGTGCTCATCCTGTGTTGCCTTAGAAAGAACAGGGGTACACAAATAAGGACAAGTCGTAAGAGGGAAATTTGGGCTTAATTACAAATCTTTCAGACAATTGCTAATGCCCAGTAATAAAACAGAAAGCAGTGACTTCCTTGTCAGTAGATGTGTTCAAGTTTCTCAGGCATCATGAAGATACAATACTTACGTTTCTGAGTGATTTCCAACTCTAAAATACCCTGATTTGATCTATTTGATTCTCCGCACTTCATTAATAATGAGTGTTTGTACAGTGTGGGATAACATGGGCCATAACATTTTTATGATTCTATGGTCAAATGGAAAAGACAAGCAGATTTGTAGTCTTGAATCCAGTACGTCCTTCAGAACACCCCTACCTTCTGTGGACTCCAAATTAAAAGATAATATTTAAGATAGAAAGCATTCCACTTCTTTGCATT